ATGGAGACCAAAGAAGCAGCCAGCATCACGGTCCACTTTGTCACCTTTGCAGTTTGGTTATTCCCACAGTTTCAGCAAACCACGGCCCACTACAAGGAATCCTGTAGTTCCTTTGGTAACCCTACCCATTTCCCATTTTGAATCCATGTCCGTATGAATCCGGATAAATATCCCAGTTTATATGGTAGGATATCCCAATATCATCCAGTTGTTCCCCAAAATTGTCTATTATCTCTATCCATATCAACCCGGTATCAATATCAAAACCCTTTGTATTATCCAGTGATATCCAACCCTCCCTCTGACGACACCGAGACGATGGTTAGTCAAGGGAATCATCCTCAAATGGCCTTATTCCAGGTATTTTTTGGCTGGTGAGTCATTCTAATTCAGCTGGAATTATACTTCTTTAGTGAGATGACAATGAACAACAATGGGATTTGCTAACCAACAACCGAGTTTATGCAAGGTGGTGCCCCCAAACGATAGCCAAGTTGGATACTACCCGATATCATTCAGCCAGATAGATCAACCATAGACATACGTACAATAAACTTACCCATTCACAAAGGTGGTTCTGCCATATTATTACATATTTGGGGGCAAAACCATCCATTAGCCATCATTATCCCTATTTCGGGATACCGTTTGGGCACCAGGGTTTTGACCCATAACCACATGCAAATGGTTTATCATTCATACATGGCTAATTTATACGATAGATTAAACATAGATACCCATAAACTTACCCATTTATGGGTGGGCGGATTGTGGCTTATCATTCATACATGGTTTGACCCATGACCATATACCATGGTATATCATGGGGATATATCATGGGGTCTCATTGATACGATGGGAATCGGGAATCAGATCATGGAATCTAACCACATGTAAATTGCTAAGTGTCATTTCTAAATTACCCGGTTATTAGCACAATCCTCTGGTCGTCCTCATCAAGTGGCAGCAGGATTTGGTGACAACATCCCCGGGAGTCGCCGCGGCGGATGGCAGCTTCATGGCGCAAAAAATTGGACGGGCCAAAGATTGAGGAAGTTGCCTTGAAATCCTGGGGATTTAATGGGATTTCATGGTGATTTCATAGGATGTCATTGTGATTTAATGAGATTTCATGGTGATTTAATGGGATTTCATGTTGATTTCAGGAGATTTCAATGTGATTTAACGAATTTTATTGATTTTACTAGGAGATTTGAATGGGGTTAAATAAATGTGAGTTTGATGGGAATTCATGAAGTATACAAGAGTATGTCGTATTTTTAAATTTCATGCGAGGTTGTATTTTTTTCATGGAATGTGAGGAATTACTTTTTTCATGAGATATCGTGCGATGAATTTCATCTTGATGGGATGAATGGGCTACCTGGGACGAAGTGTTCTTTTTGGGCACTGCAACAATACAATGAGGATGATATCCCATCCCAAGAAGTATACCCTCTCCGAATCAAAGTTGGCAGTGGGAAATCCTCTTAAATCCTGTAGAGGTTTCTAGCGGGGAAAACCAGGGAACTAAATGGTCGATGTTTCAGTTTGAGTAGTGGAGGGTAACCAGTCTGCGATACAAATCACTCTTTCATATAAAGTGGTGATTACGCACGTATTGATTGGGATAAGGATGCGCCACCAAATAATGGAATTATTGGCGTTATATCAAGTTATATCCAATTTATTTCCCATATTAGTAGATGAAAGTTGAAAGCCCAATTTTTGTTGGGCGTGGTTTTTACCCACTTAGTACCCTTTGGTATTTTGACCTGGCTATGGAACATCACCATGTTGCGAGGCTTCAAAGAAACAGGAGCCAATGGGGAGACGAACTACTCTCCCACGGCCACTCGCAGTCACAAAGAATCCTTGTCTCAGAGGCTGCCATTCGGCAATGGACCCTGGCATCAACAGATGTGCCCAAAGGTTTTTTACAGACAACAGGCAGAGACAGGCAAGGCCTTCAGGGACGTATCCTTCGCCCTATCACAGCAAGGAAATGAAGCGCTCAGTGAAGAGTGGTCCTCTGATGACATCGGGGGCATCTAGTCCTGACTGCCCAGCAATTCCTGGCTGCACCCGGAATCAAAACAAAGTTCCCAGTGGATTCTTGAACTTCAACCCACAAAAACTGGGATTGAAGCTGCAAGAGTTTGGATATAAAAACAAGGGAAAATTATACGGGAAAAAAATATAGAGGGTAACTAAAATCCAACAAATCTGGATTAATTTGACCACCTGAAACTTCAAATCCTCCAAACATTATCAGAAAATAATAGGGATTTAATCTAGTTTAAGCAAATTTATCCAAATTTAGCCTTTTTTTATCCAAATTTAATCCAATTTTATCAAATTTTGAATTTCCTTGGCTTCTGCCCAGAAGAACTCTTTGATTTCCTGTTTTTCCTGTATTGCCACCAAAAATGCGTACCTTTACCCCAAAAGAACCATTTTTTACAGCAGATTATCAGGACTTTAAGCAAGAATAAATATCCCTTGTTTTTTCCTGGACATGTTTTCTTTTTAAAATCGGTGCAAGTAACATCAAACAAGTGAGATGCACATGTTGGAAAATACGGGATTTACCTCATAGGAATTGTTTTCTGTCTTTCACCGGGATTCACAGGGTTCAACTTGGAGTCACACGGTGTGAGGATTGGAGTCTGATTGTACAGGGTTTAAGCACAAGAATTTGGATTCAATGAGTTTTTCGCGCAAGAATTGCGGCAAGATTTCCGGGGTTTTGATCCATAATTCTGAGGGCTTTACAGGATCTGACCCCCAGAAATCCTCAGAATTTAGCCATTTAGCCATTTAGCCATGGTCAGCGGTAGCTCTATAAGTACTCAGCCAAGCCTGAATGGCAAAGTAATTACGGTCAGCGTCTGACAAAAAATAGTACTTTGCATTTAGTCAAAACAATGGAATTGATTCTATTGTATTTCGTCCTGATCTATTTCTCTCAGATTGCAAGTGAATCATTCATGATCAGTAGAGAAACATTTGATTTGGGACATGAATTATCATTAATTGATAAAATATCGTGAATCAATGTCCCAAATTGTATTATGAGGAACATATTTGGGACATTCCAATGTTCAAAAAGCCACCGATACAATGGTCACCGACAACCATGAACATAAGTTACATCATGAGTTCCAAGGTGCGGCGCGGGTTCAGCGATGGGTGTGGCACCTGGAGGATGGGGCTCCCGTTCGTTGTTGCGTTCAGTTGCCGAACATAAGTGGTTGAATTCTATGGTTTATGGTAGCTACAATGAACTAGTTAATGGGGGTTATCAACCAACAAACATAACTGGGGGGTGACATCCTGTCAGTTCACCATCAAAAATAGTGACTTCTACTGGAAAATATGGATGGTTGGAATATAATTAAGATCATGGGAATTTCATGAATACCCCCTGGAAAACAAACATGTAACATGGCAATTGCAAAGCCGCTTGGGTCAATATTGGTTTTCAATAGGAAAATCATCAAACTACTGGGTGATTGTCCATTGCCATGTTTGAGTACCAGAGGGAAACCAGCAAAAAAATGTGCGACTTTCTGGCAGTTTGACAGCATGGAATTGTTGAAATCATTCTTTTGATATTCTTTTGACATTTGCTCGGTAAATCTATAAATGGGCCATGTTACACCGTCGAACGCCCATAAGCAACATCTATTTTGGTAATCACCAGGCTGTTTGTGAGTCTTGATCACGGCAGTCATGCCCATGAAGGCAACTTTCGGGTGGATGTTGATGGCGATTTAGTATGATGTAGCAGGACTTTGATGGGATTTAATAGGATGCTTACTTGTGCAAAACATAGGGAATTGGGGAATGTGATGATTGTTAATAGTCGTTCTGTATCATTCCCCCATTCCCTACGTTTTGCACAAGTAAGAAAAGTAGAACGTGTTTTCCAACAAGTAACCGTTGCCTATTCAGACTGTCCAACAGAATGCAAAAGACCCTGGTTTCGACCCCGAAAGCATGGATGAAGTCCGGATAAAGTCCTGGCCATTGACTGGGGTCTATACCAGTCATTGTTGGATCCAAACATTGCTCTTGAAAAATGGTGCGTTCAGTTTTTTTGGTGGGTCCTTAAGCAAATCCAAGTTTTAGATTCTCATGTTTAGTTCCAGAAATACATTCTCAATATATCTATTCGCATTATTCGAATTATAACCCAAAAGATATTCCCACTACAGCTTCTGTCAATTATATCAATTATTATGTTTCCTGTCTATTCCCGGTATGCTTTCATTCCCACAAGGCGCAGTGGCCCAGTGTATACTAAATTTGTTCCCATTTATATTCCCACCGATTGCATTCCCATGATATGTTCTAGTATTTATCAATTTCCCAGTATATTCGCAGTATTCCTCTTTTATTCCAGCTATATTCCCGTTTGTTGTTGTGGATACTCATTATGTTCCCATATCCTCAGTATATTCCAAACATTCCCAATTACTATGTCCATACTTACTTATTATAGTATAATATGCTCGGTATATTCCCAATATTCCCAGTTATGGAAATTACATTGCATATTCCCAATTAGTACATTCCCATTGTACTTTCATTTCCATCATATTTCCAGCAGGACATCAATGGGAATTTCAGGACCCAAATATATAGAGGTATTATATCATATAAAGCCAATTATGGGTGCGTATCCTGTTAGTTTGCCCTTACATGGGCCTGTGATATGTGGTAGTGACTCCAACTTAGGTACTTCAAATGGCTGAGGAAATCTGCCCACCATCATTTTGCACAGACAACACACCCATTTCTGGACACACCCAACATTGATATAGTTTTCTTCAGCAAATCCCACAATGTGGGGCCCCCCAGTTATGTTTGTTGGTTTATAAACTCCATGAAAACTAGAGTTATTTGCGTACCATAAACCATAGTGAAATTGGATGGAAAAAATTGGTTTATAAATTGGCGCCCCCTAGTTATGAATTGGTTTTTAAACCCCCATGAATGCTATAGTTTTAAGTACCATAGACCATAGCTATTGTTATTGGAGTTATTTGAACCAACTGAACGCTATCGTAAACGGGGGCCCCTTGAGGCACCCAGGGCCTCATCTCCAATCCCGGCTCGATCCGCTGCGTGACTTGGCGCACTTGAGCATGGTCAGGGCTGCAGGGTGGATGAATATCAAGTGTTTAACATGATTTGACTAAAAAATGGAAAATGGATGGAAAAACCGGAAAATGGGTGGAAAAACCGGAAAAGGTCTGTCCGCGCAATGCGTGATTGAAGTAAAGTGGTCCCCCCTTTTTCTCAGGGAGGCTTTGAGTGGTGAACACCAGGTGAAGGTAGACCCTACGCCTCGGCAAGTGGCCGCACAAAGGAGGTGTCAAAACCCTGGTCATCAAGTGTTAAGGAGCCCAAACATGAACCAGCTTCAGGCCTTCATAAATTCTTGCTTTTGGGCATGGTCTCTTTACCAGGGTTTTTCACAGAGCTCATAAATAGGGCTCTGATCATTGTAAGGCAAAGCTAATTTCAGAACGGACGATGTTCATTTCCCAAATCATTGGGGCTTCAACAACTCACATGAACCATTCTCTCCATATCATTCACCGCCCAAACTCAGAAGTGGGGTCCTTGGGCTCTGCGTATTTTGCAAGTCTAGGAATGCCGCGTGTTTTTTGCTATTGATCGGCTGAATGCAGCACCAGTAGAAGGGCCTTGGGAAGACCACGAAAAGGACCAACAGCGGCGCAGCGGTCCTCTTTGTTTTGTGGTCTTCACTGCAACCTCTGGAAGGACCTTCTGCAACCGGTGGCGCTTATTTTGTTTGCACGAGAATTTGCCAGGCTCAGCTCCCCATTTTCAAATCCAAGCGCCCTTTGGTTTGCTTTTCATTCTCACTCGAACCATCTCGAACCTATTCTTGTTGAATTTAATACCATATCCCTCTGTGAACTGATTACTCTTGTTCTCAACAAGCTTGCATTTAAAAAAGCCTGATTTTCATGTTTACTTGCACTTCCCCATGTTGCATTGAACAATCCCCTGTTCTTTGCTAACTCATCCTATGTTCGTTTCCGATTTGTACTAAAATATAATCCTTTCTAAACTGTTTTTTTTTTTGGATTGCTTATTCTTTTTACTTGTTAGTTGTTAATTCCTTTATCGGGTTGATTGCCCCATTTTGGACTCGGAATTCCAGTTACTTTTGGGCCCGCAGCAACTCAGCTTTGTTGTAAATGATTCGGTATCAGGTAAAAATACAGCCATCATGCTCTAAGAAGTCAAACGCACTCCCTGCACGCAATTCTTTCGGTTTAAACCATGTCGAGGATAAGGCAGGCATTCGACCCTGACCTGGCGTTTCACTGAAACCTTTTCAGAGATTTCTACTTTTTTTGCTCCGTGTGATTGTCCAGCACAAAAGCTGTAACACTTGAAGCTTGGTTTGGGGCCCACCGGGCATGCCGGAGTAGGATTCTTGACAGTCCACAGACATTTTGCTCTCGGAAAAAATCGAAATACCCTAAATCTTGTTGGTGGTTTGGAACACTTTTATTTTCCCCATCAGCTGGGATGATGATCCAATCTGACTAATATGTTTCAGAGGGGTTGAAACCACCAACCAGCTAAATATATAAGAAGTAATTTCAACCTACTGCGAAGGCGAAGGTGATGAAGCGTGAGTGTTTGCAAGTTTAGGGATTTTTCACGGTGGACACTTGAAACATTTATTATCTCATATTGCGCCAATACTGCCAGTATGGTTTTGTTCCACAGGTTCTGTACTTTTTGAAACAGATGCTTCCGTACTCAAAACTCAACCTTTGGGCCTTTGGAGATCCCGGGGTCAGGTCGACCCCTCAAGATGCCCGTTGCAGCTGGTCAAGTGTCCGGCATCCTAGGGTGGCAAGTGGTCTTGAGGGCTTTGAGGGCTATAATGCGAAATCCACTGAGGCTTCTCCCGTCGGCAAACTTTTGAGGGTTAGGGGTTGCAGCGCAGATGTTGTTTTGTACTTGGTGCCAACAATATGTTTGAAACAGGTACATGTGGGGTGGTTGTCTTAACCTGACGTGTAACAGCAAGTGAATGGATTAGTCGGGTTGCTGCATTGATTCCGGGGCCTTTGTGCATGTCAAAAGGCTTGCAGCGTGCATTTTTGCGAACCTCTGATTGAGCTGCTCAACTTCACAGGTATGCCTTTGCATCACTGCAACATTCAGTGAGACTCAAGTTGCTCATAGCAGGTTGCCCGCTGACGCTCAGCGTTCGTTTCGTCACTTGGAAGCACCATATATATATATATATACATACATACATACATACATACATATATCGGCTCATGACTGATTGTTCGAATTGTTTGGTCGGCTGCTGAACTGTGTTTTTTTGGTTTTGCCACGGTCAACGAGCAACAATTCTTTCCAGGTGAAATGATCCTTGCCTTGTTGCTCTGTGGTGTGGCATATGGGCTTCGCTCGGAAGGGACCGAGGCTCATACCTTGCCTGAACTCACCTACTACCAGGAACTCTGTGTAGCGCCCGATGCTGATAAGAGAACAATTAAGAAAGCCTACAGGAAACTTGCTTTGATCTGGCATCCAGACCGAAAAACCGGCGAGGAGGAAAAGTTCAAAAGGATTTTGAAGGCCTATGAGACACTGACGGATGAAGGGGCGCGCTTGGAGTACGACGACACTTTGAGATCTTTGAGCCAGCCTGAAGGTGGCTGTGACCAGCTTCAGTGCCCTGGGGGATCCAAGTGCAAGAGCACCTTGTGCGGTCCAAAGTGTGTTTGTCGCAAAAAGGACATAGTTAAGGTGAATGGCAAACGCATGAAGGTTCGGGTGCCCTTCATCAAAGGCGAATGCATGACCAAGTTGATGAAGGCTGCGAGTTCGGTTTGCTGCCAGGAAGGTGACGGCAAGCCAGTCCGAGTCCCTCCAGAGTTTCAACCCATCGAGGAAACGACCACTGAGCTCGAGGAGATGAAGTGCCCAGAATCATGGACGAGATTGACAGAGGACAAGTGCAAAGATCGCCCCTACTTGGATGAAGTCGATGACGACTGAGGCCCGTCCGACGCGCCCGGTGGACTTCGCAGAGATTCGTAGAGCGGTGGAAAAAAAGGCGGCTGCCAGGATAGTCTTTTTGGATGTGTTAACTGTATCACTTATGCAGTTCAAGTTTGCCATTTCAACATATGGGGACCTGAGGCGAGTATTATCCGAGACCATCATCCACGTCCTGTGACCAGCTTAGCAGAAAGATTCAAGGTCCGTCTTCGACTAGAGCTTTGGGACCGTAGGAGTGGACTTAAAGTTCGGTGAGGCAAGCAGGTTGGTGAAGCCCAAATTGTGAATATTGACATTTATTGACCAGCACAAAAGTCAAATCAATGAGCTCTAGACTCTAGACCTGTTGTTGAGTCCATTTCAAGTGGCAAATATGAGAAATTAGTTTGGGCATGGGCCAAGCTTTTGGTGTGGCTAGGTTTTTTGATGTGACTTTGCTCAAATCGGGAGAAAACATTGGATGTGAGGGTCTGCTAAATCCATCCCCAAGGTTTGGGCATGCTCCCAAGCTTGTCTAAAATGTAAGTCGGTTTGTTGAACATTCAATCAGTCTATTCCCATCGGCCTTGGAAAACGGGCTTCGACTCAGGTCTACAGCGTCGACTGGTCCCCTTATGACTTCCTGGTCTCCGCCTGCGACGATCGAATCCGGATCTTCCGTGCGGAGGAGCCTTCTTTCGGTCTTCTTGATTTGGAATCCCGGAAAAATTGCCGGTTTTGGGCTTGTGATGTTCAAGCCCATATTCCCCCAAGGAAGGTAAGCTGCAGACTGGAATAGGGCTCCGAATTCTCTGAAAATATCTGCGGGTTGAAACATAACATGTACCATCTTATGACACGTATATATGTAATATACACTTTGCCAGCAGGCTCACAAGTGGCTATAAACAGGCAAGTCAAAGCGTTCAAATGAAAACTAATTGGACCTAGCTATTCATGCACAGAAGTAGAGGTCCATGTTTAGTTTAATTTCTTTCGAAGGACCACTGCGTTGTTGACCCCTGGTATGGTTTCTAAGGCCAGTTTCTGTTTGAGTGGCTTGACCTCAGGGTTTTGTCCCAAGAAGTTGAAAAGGACTGGTCAATGGCCAGTCGATGATACTAGTCTGTGAATGTTATTTGTGGCTAAATCATGCTAAATCAACCAATGGTTTTTAGTCAGGTAAGGCGTTTTCAGAACTTTGAAGAATATGCAGGGCCCCGCTTCCCAATAGTTACTGCCCTCAATACCCGAGCACGCTACACAAGTTATTTGCCTCATGGATAATTCAGAATCTTTGAAATTGACCCAAAACAAATGTACCTCCCATAAGTTTGTTTTTTGCGGTTTCGGAGGTTATCATTCCACTTTGTTGGAAAGTTGAATTTCTTCAGGGTGATGTCCTAAATGGTAGTTGACATCTAGGCTATGCAGCTCGAACGAAAGGCCCTGCAAAAAGGGCGAGGGAGTTCCTATTACCAGCTCTAATTATCAAGAGCTAAACATGGAGTTTTCTGGTCGATGCAAGAAGAAAGAGTGGACTATGGATTCCTTCAAGATTGGCCGTAAATTGGGGATAGGTCCTCATTCGGAAGAGAAATTGTATAGCTTGTGACAAAGGTCGTCCTTTCATGTTTTCATGTTTTGCCCATCTTTATTTTTTCCTGGATTGACAGTCCTATGCTCAGCTTCCTAGATTGTTTTCACTCAAATCAATCTTTCTTCAGCATCGATTTGTTGCGGCAGATTGGAACATTAAAATCATCACCAACGACATTCAAATTGAAACTTCACCAGCTCGAGTTATGACCTACCTCGAAACTGAGCTCCGGCCATAGGACGAAGCGTTGCTAACGGACTGCATAGTGGCATAGTCAGTGGGAGACCGAGATGGGGTCGACAGTCTCTGATCCTGGGTTTCGTAGGATTGTTGTTGAACCAAACACCAGTCTTCTGGTGCAGCAACTTCAGCTTTTTGAGCTTTGTGACTCAGAAACTTGAGGATCTCTATCTTCATCTATCTTCCAAAGGACGATTCAGAAACATGTTGGGATGTGAGATACCACCAAATTCTTTCGATATGGTTGGAGTATACCCACATCAAGACCTTAAGATTGACATATAGAGAATGTCCATCACGTGACCGTCGACCTTCAATTTACAGAAATTGATTGCTGATTGTTTGCATGAAAACACGTGCTTCGATTATATTTTCTTTCTCCCTTTGATTCAAATAAGATTTTCATGCAAACACATACCCTCATTGTACCAGGGCAAGAAACACTCCGAGTTTGTTTACAGGTGAGTGTGTTCATAGACGTGCGAATGCTTATCACAGACATCGTCGATAAACGTGTTGCCGTTTCAATCGAATCCACTCTTTTGTTGGCAGCATCACGAAGAAATGGGCACGGTCAAAACTCCAAAACCTACGTCAAAACTCTGGTCTTTTGAAGGGTGCACGAATCACAAGGTCTAGCTTCCAAATCCCTGCGGATTGCGGACGAGAATGAGGAAACCCCAACGATTGAACTTAAGCTCCTGGTTGGCGAAGCATCTTGACCCGGGTTTCGAAATCGTTGTTGAAGTACTGGTTCTTGTAGAAGTTCCTTTGAGACCACTGCTGACCACTCTTAAACGTGCAGGGGCAACCAACACTCAAGCGCAGTCCGACTCAAAGATTCTGGTCGAAGTGTTCAAGGCACTTAGAATAGGCCGGTCGACCCGCCGTTTTATGGTTTCGAACAAAAACTTCTGCGACCGGCCATTCGACCCAGACTTCAGCACTCCAAGCCACCAAGCACTGGAACACGCCAAGTCAACGGCTGCTTTGCGTGATATTTAGTATCAATGTCATAGCTAAATAAGCTCAAACAAATACCAGGAATACAAAGACTGGAAATAATTATAAGAACCTGGGGTCCCATGAATTCTCAGCAACTGAACCATACGCATGTATGGCTGGTCAAAACATGTCAAAACCCCGCTTACCTCCGTCGAAAATCCCTTCAAAACCACCGTTGAAATGGACTACCCTCTGGTTATTTAACATAGCTATGGAAAATGGCCCATTCATAGATGGTTTACCTATTAAAAATGGTGGATCTTTCCATGGCTATGTTAAATAACCACATGGTAACATGGGTGATGAACCCCAAAAAGGTCATGAATTCCAGGTCCCTAACCTGTCCCGAAACGCCACACCAGGCCTGGTCGAAGCCTCACCAGGCCAGCGTCGGAACACCCAGAAAGGCGAGTCGGATGGAAATTTGGTGTTGTATAATAGAATCTTGCTTAAGTTAGTTAAAGGTTAAGTTTGTTCAATTGTTCTTTTTCTTCTTCTTCTGGTTGTGTTGGTGGTGTTGGTCGTGCATGTCGTCCTTTGTGCTAATGTTCACGAGTTGATTCCAAGTGCTTTGGTAGCTTTGGATCGATAAACGCCTTGGGATGTAACTTAGGAAGCCGAGCCCCGAGCCCCATGATTTCTTCTCCAAGGCGAGTCCTGTTACAACTGTTTTGGGCTCTATTACATGCTGGCCTTCACATAGAAGCAAACATTTGCACCTTGGAGCCTAGTTTGAAGAAGCCCAACTCAGACAAATTTTGAGAAGCTCGACTTCAGCAAGTGATGGATAGTGATGGTCTTTTTACATGAAGAAAACCGCCAAAGTGCGGAAAACTGCCGGGAGGTAGTGAAGCTGTGGCGATCAAGTTTTGCTGCCATGGCCTCAGTTCGCCAAACGCCCCAAAGTGGCCTAGTTATTTCTAGTTGAGGCTTTTCGAAGTGATGAGGTGATGTTTCTAGCTGGTTGGAGGTTTTACTCTTGGCTGGCCTTTTGGCTGTGACTTGCTCAAAGCGCGAGCGCCAAGGTCGGGCAGCGAGCTGGCCACGGGCTTGTTGAAAAACTGGGGCGTTGAGTTCTGCGGGATTTCCCTGAGAAGTGCTTTTATCAAAATATCAAGTGAAACCAAGACCTTCACACAACTTGTTCCATGCCTTTGTCAGCTAGGGATGTCACTTAGAATACACCCCATTCCTGCGTTTTAAAGTTTGGCTCGGGCATTTCGGGAAAGATGTCCCTCAGTCCCTTCTTTCGCAAAAGTCATATCATTACTTTCAACCTCTTATCAGCTGCTTTTGAAAGATTGTGAAGTTCAAACCTCAGAGCAGAAATCCATTTCTTTTGCCATGCGCGTTGTCATGAGCAACATCCAACATCTCAACAAAAAGGGAGGGTCTGAAGTATGTTCGATCCAGGTCAGCTAAGATGAGCTACAGGCACCTTTGGACTACCCTTTTGCAGCACTCATGTGGCGCCTCGCTCTGTTGCGGGCGGCCTGGGCTTGGTGGGACAATTGGCATATAGGTATACCCCCGGTCTGGGATGAAATAGAATGATTCCCAAAATGGTTGGGTACTGGAATTCATTGTTTTTACCAGCTATCCAGCTAAAGGTGTAGAGTGGCCATGGTCAGTTTCTTTAGTCGGGCCCAGCGATTGTTTGCGGACAGTGGGCCAGATCATCGACGATGTGAGGATCACCTGACAAATTAGTAAGTCCATTCCTTCGGCGATATTCAGATCGGTTTTGATGTCACCAATAGCTCAAGCATTCTCAGTCAGAGGGCATAAACCCAGCTGTAAATGGGCCCAGTCGTTGTAAAACTGGCTCTTGCAGCGACCCTGCCTCCTTTCCCTGATTTGCTCCAGGCCATCTCAAAAACGGAGATGAACAGACATGAAAGCTAACGTTGTACATATGGACGCCCAATGCATGGCGTGTCTAGCCAAAGTCGTAGTTCGCGAAGAAACACAGCTCTAAGCCCGAAAACCTGTGTGTGTATCTCCCCATGCATACCAAACTGGGGATTTACCCAGCAAAAGTGAGGATCAATCAACAAAGCTGTCGATTTAACCAAGAAAATTCTGATTTAACCAACCCAAATTTGAGATTTACCCAACAAGAGCGGGGATTTAACCAACGGTGAAGCAACTCGGATGATACAAATCATGGCAGTTGGCTTCGAAGGTCTTCGCTGGTCCTTCTCACCTTGGCAGTAAAGAATTGGTGGAAGATTTCAAAAGGCTTCCATCCAAAAAGATAAACCTAAGGTCAATGAACAGAACGATCGAAGCTTTGACAATTCTTAGCCCAAGAATCATCCAAAAGCAACTCCAATCTTAACCAGGTGGGCTGAGATCTGTGCGGTTCCCATAGGGACCCCACTCTGAAAACGTGGCGACCGCGGTGGCATGGGGTGGCTGGGATTTGGGATGTGTTCAGTCGATATGGGTATAGGTCAAAATTGGGTACCCAAACAATTATATCTGATTGGTGGTTTGGAACATTTTGTATTTTTCCATATGTTGGGAATAACAATCCCAATTGATGAACTCCATCATTTTTCAGAGGGGTAGGGCTCAACCACCAGCCAGATATAGATGCTAGTAACCATGAATCCTAAAATTTGTGGTCCCTTCTGGCCTTCTGGGGCTTAAATTTTGACCCATCCCCATATGGATCTGCATTCTGCTGTGGAAAAATAGGCTGAGCAGCCAATAAGTCGTGGTCAAAAAATAACATCATTTCATGTCAGTTCCATGGCTCATGGCTGGAACATCTTCTGCTTTACTTCTGGATAATGAAATATGAATGTTAATCATGATGTCGCAGTCCTCCAGGTCCTGGTGATTTGTTTTGGCGATTGAACCAACCATAAATCCAGGAAATATCTCCATGAATAGCTCAATGAAAATTGCAGGAATTAGTGGATGAATCAGAAATTGAGTATAAATCCAGTACCGCCATACCATTTACCACAAATCCATTCATCAGAAATCTTGATCACTTCTCTACCCCCTGCGTCAGGGGACCGCCTCCAAACTCCCCAATTTGGACACCAAGATGAGTTCTTTTTTCGCACATGGGATCGGTGGGAGAAGGTCAATGGGCCAATGGGTGCAGGCTTTTTGGCCATCAAAGCTAGAGCTACTTTTGGTGGTGCCAACGATCGCTAAGTTGGTGAACAGTTCACTAAATGAATTAGATGATTTATGATATGTCGAACTAGTGGTGGTTTTTTTGAGCAACAACATCACCGGAGGGTCAAGCCACCTCATAGAACCGAATAGATCCACCCAAGAGGTTGGATTGGAGAGTCTTTCATAAGGAAAGTGGAGGGGGCACTTAGATCTATCCAACAGGCTGCGTGCAAACCAAACATCCAAAGCTTAGCCATCCCCATGGATATCCCCATGACAGCCGTTCATTTTATCGAATAGCCATGATGAAGTTCCCAGTACCCTCTGGTAATTTGTTACAGAGCTATTGAAAATAGCCATAGAAATAGTTGATTTTCCCATTAAAAATTGTGATTTTCCATAGTTATGTTAGTTTACCAGAGGGTAAAAGCAGTTACAGGCGCTCAATCAATTATCAAGTATAGCGTGTTGACAAATCCAGAACCAAAGTCGAAAAAAGAAACAAAGAGATGCCGAAAGAACGATCAAACAAGTCAGAAAAAGATCGAAACAGTACAATCACATGGGGTTTAACAGCCACTAATGGATGATATGCTGGTGATAAATCATTTGTCAGCCATGATTAAACCATCACTTATCCACCATATCCACTGGTTAAAACTCAGATAAATAGAGCTAAAATCCAGTTCTAAATCTAGCCATTTACCAACTGAACGCAATTTCGTCGACGGGGCCCCCACTTTGTATCAAACACATTTTGTTAGGGTATACCCTCTGGTAAATATATACATATATCGTCATATACACTAAGACTATATATATAACATAACAGCATATATATAGTTATTTGTTTGTTTATCTGTTTATTTATTTATTTACACTAATGTTGCCCATATCTTGTCTAAATCAATCTATGAAATACATATATTTTATTGTTTAAAGAGATACATCCGCTATATATATATATCACCAATTATGATATATTACCAAGATATATTTAGATATATGCTAAATAGACATCTTCCATTATTACCCATATATATGTATTGTTTAATTATAGGTAAGATTAACAAACCGCCATGTTATAATGTTATTATTAACAATAGGACTATATCTTATCCCATTGTTAATCTTTTACATTATATAATATATGGCACATCCTCTATAGGGATTTATATACCATTTATAGATGGTTTACCGTTCTTAAAAATGGTGGATCTTTCCATGGCTATTAAAAATAACCAGATAGTACACTTATGTTGTTCATATATTGTCTAGGTCAATCTTACATGGGTACAAGCTAATCCTAACTAGTCTTTTGGTATCTACATGGGAATATCTACTAACTCACCAGCAAAGAATTTAAGTCAGTTTTTGCAGGGGCCCTCTGGCTGATTGGCAAAGTATAGTGCATTATACTCCTATTCTATCCACATTTGATACAAACTGATGTTTACTGGCTGGTGGTTTCAAATAGATTGGCAATGTATTTTTCTCACGGATGGGTTTCCTTCAACCCCAGATTGACTGCTGGTTTCGCTGGGTTGGAATTGTGGGGCCCACAGGTTTCGAATGTCAGAAACCCAGCAGTTAGCCACAATGGGTGTAATAAACCACCCCATGGCACTGAGGCGTGGCCTCCTCGGAACACCGCGCCCGGCAGGCCGTGGCCGCCGCGGCGCAGGCCGCGCAGGCGGCCGTTGACGAAAACGGGGCGGTTTCACCGGGGAAAACGGGGGAGTTCAATGGCAAAATGGTGGTTTTATGGCAAAAATGCGTGTTTTATGGGCAAAAATGATTGTTTTATGTGATTTGGAAACAAAATTGGGTGGTTTTCCGGTGAAAATTGGGTGGTTTAGTTTAAAATTGAACTTTCACTCTGATGAATTATGGTAAAATTGGAACTTGTGAGTGGTGTATGCAATTGAAAATCGATTTCCTGGAGTGGTGGGTGGTACAGGGTGCTGCCCCTCAGTTAGTTGATTTAAAACCCATATTAACTGTATGATTTTATCATTATATTCATTCGTTCATTCGTTCATTCGTTCATTCATTCATTCATTGATTGTAAATACATATTTATATATATATACACATAAATCCAACAGGTATTGGAGCTATCTTCACCAACTGCGCCTTAAGAGAACCAGGGCAACCACCCTGTAGCCACTCGAGGTGAGCCTCCCTTGATGAATTCTCAATCTATCCAATGGTGAACGGAGGGAGCTGGTTAGGAGCTAGGGCTATTCATATTCCCAACAAATATGTCAGTTTTTCTAATGGGGAGCGATTTGGAGCTACTTGGAGTTTCCCAATCTAATGGAATTGTGCATCCAAAATTGACGGTGTATTTTTGGGTCTACCACAGATGGGAATTCGGAATGGAAGTTTTTTCCAAACTTGGGAGCTCCTCCGAGTAGATTCATCATAAACCATCCCCAATAATCAGAACCGATTGATATTCGACACCAACAAAGGTGCCCAAAAGGTCTAGATCCAATAGTAAACCAGCTGGTCAATTGGTTAATTGTGCCGTGTTTGATCCAGAAATCGTCTCCAACACCATACCATCCCCATTTTACAATAAGTTCACTCTCCATGTTTGTTGCTTAAACATGCGTGGAAAATCAATACTTGGGCAAAGTTGCGGGTTTCCTTTGCCAGCTAAAATTCTTACAAACCCAAGACCTGACCAAGTGAAGTGTTCAACTGTTCACCAACTTAGCACTTCCAACATGGGGTACCACCGTGTAATCATCAACCAACCATCACTCTTTTCACTCTTTTCGGCCAGTCCCCGCGTCTCGGCTGAGCGGAAACGTTGGGGTCATTGCCATCCAACTTGCAAGCGGCATCGCTAGAAGTTCCTGAGAGCACGGACACTGTTGATCTTCTTTTGTGAGTCAAGCAATATATCATCCGCCAACTGCAAAGCTCCAAATCGAATCCGAAGCGATACGCATTGTGTCCAGAATTGGATGCAGTTACTTTCTGGCCGCAAGTGCAACAACGTACACGGCCTTGAGTTTGCCTTCCAGACACCTTGTATCCAGTCTGATAAATAATTGGCTCTTCTCACAAAATCAACGTATTTGACATCATTCTTACCGTCAATCCACTTTTTCTTCTTGGTCTGATGTCGTACTCCTTTGCATCCAGTCTGGTACTCATAGAGCGCATTGATCTGGAACCACGACACACTGCGCAAAGGTTCAGCAGGATCTGTAAGGTTTCCAAGCCATGCAAGGAGTGTACCTGCTTGGTCGAAGTTATATTTAGAAGGTAGGTCTTCGACCGTCAAGGGGCTGAAATCGGTTTCAGCCAGAGCTTCTTTGGGTATGCGTTCTTTGTGTTGCTTGTCAGTAGGTTTGCTTGCGTTGGTCATCACAGCTTTCCTACCAACTTGGATGAGGGTGCGGTGGACATGGTTGCGAAAAAGGTGGATATGTGCTACATCACGCTGCAAAGACTGCCACAGCTCATATACTGTTGGAAAACGATGCACTGCTGCTTCTGTGAGTCGGTCTGCTGCTTGGTTACCTGCTATGACCCAGGCTTCATACTCATCGGCTGCTCCTGCTAGGTCCTGGTGGCTACATACTTTGGTGACTTGACACAGGCTGGGTCCCAATTGGCGAACCAGCTCGTGGAGCTGCTTCCACAAGTCTGCGTCTTTTTGGTTTGGTTTAAAGAAACATGATCTTTCACGAAACCTCTGGATCCTCTTGTATACCAGGCCGTTGTCGGTCCACAAGCGCAATGGTCGGTTGCATTGAATGGCAAAGGCACAGGCACATATAGCGGCGGTTATTTCCCCTCTAAGTGCTGTTTGAACCCATCCAGTGACTAACCCATTAGCTACAGGCCAAAAGGTGGTCATGTCTCTGTTGGCTATCACTACTCCCCACGTTGCTAGCTTGCTCACTTTGCAGGTCGGTGCTAAGCATCCTCCATCTGTGAAGGCATATATTTCATCTGGCACTTGTGCAGGCCAAATGAACTGCTTGGTTTCATCCGGAAGGCTCAAAAGCAAGTGTTGGAACGCCGGGAGATTGGGTGGCTCCGGCATCCATCCGTGGGCTGCTATGCTGGGGGCCATGTCTGCTATGTCCTTGGCTTGTTCCGTGTTCACAGTGCGCTGATCTGCAAAAGCTGGGCAAGTCCAGTGGCGATGGACCTGAGAGTCTTGCTCATGGCAGTGGCTGCACGTTGTGTCATGTTCCTGGTGTTGATGTTTTCGGCGATCTGCAGTGAAGAATGTTCCATTCATGCACACACGCAGGAGTGCTTTGTCTTCGGCTGAGTGGTGCTGCATTCCACATGTCGAAAGAACTGGGCTGGACCATTGCATGCCCCTGAATGTCTTTCTTTGAGCAGCTATGTTCTTGATGCGATTTTGCCAGGCATCTGCTAATCTGGCTCTGATCTCTTGGATTGGACATGTCAGCAGGGCAATGGGCCTACGCAGGTGGTCTAGGAACATGGCTCCGTCACTCCATGACCAGGCAATTTGGTGCAACCTTGACAAGAGGACTGACATCGGACCTGGACGTGGGACATAAGTGCGTCCTACTCTATGCAGTTCGCTCATGCAAAACTCCGTGACATCTTCTCCATGATTGTGCTCTCTGTACATCAAGACTGTGGTGAGCAGGGCATGATATTGTGGATCGGTGGTGGCTCCCTCAATCAAGCTTAGATGTATGGGCGGTGACGTTCCACTGCTATGTTCACCTAAACCTTGAAGTGCTCCTGTCCTCAGCTTGTCAAAGTGGTCATCTGCCATGTGCACAGACGCTATGCCATGTAAACATGATGGCCACGCTTTTGCCACCAGCGCTCTAACTTTTTGCACATAAGGTGCAAGAGACCTGGCTAGTCTCCCCCACAGTGGTTTGATTTCTTGGCAGCGACCTGTGATGGCTGCGTTGGTAACAACCTGGCTATACTGGACATGGCCTCCTAGGTCTCTGGCTTGGAGCTTGACTACTTGTTCACTGGCACGCAAGGTCTTGCGTTGGCTTGCATCTACGGACCAAAAGTAGGATTTATCATTATCAATGAGCACATCCATGACCTCTGAACTGTTGGAAACCCTCCAGAGCTGTGATGGCTTCCTCTGCTGCTGGTGCTGTTGCTTCTATGTTATCTACAAAGCTCCACAGTGTGACCGACGGATATCGCAGCTTTACAAAACTGTGTCCTACCAGGTTGTGGGCTAACATTGCTGTCACGGAGAGAGCACAACCTTCTGGGAAACCTGTGCTTGACAGCAAACTGGGTCCTACACAGTTATGTAGTTTGAACCTACGCTCCATTGACACTAGAGCCATCCCCCATGCATGCATCACTTTGGGATTGACATTCAGGATTGACATAAAGTGTAAAATGGGTGTGCGTGGCAACATGTTGAAAGCTTTGATAAGATCTACTACCCAACCTGTGAGTGATCCTTTGTTCATCTGGGCCAGTTCGATTTCCTGCATAACCCCGTACCATACCTGTGCAGCATGTCTACCTGGAAGGTTTCCTGTACACGTTGTGGGTGCGTACGGCTGGAGGTGTTTAAGAATCTGTTTGGCCCTGATGGAACTCCACACTCTGTAACACAGGCTGAAGACCGTGATCGGTCTATACTGGTTCACCGTGGCTGCATTGGGTGTTTTCTCTAAGGCTACTACAAACCCTGTGATCATTTGCTTCGGCCAAGGTTGGCCGTTCTCGATGCTATGGAAAATGCCCAAAAGGGCTTGCTTGGCTTCCAACGGCCATTCTAGAAGATCTTGCCTGCTCACACCGTCTGGTCCGGTGGCTGCTTTCTTGGACTTGTGGCGCAATGCGCAGTCCCATTCTTCTACTGTTATGGCATGGTATTCCATAGGAGGTGGTTTTGGCAAGACGGTTTCTGCAAAGGCGATGATGGGGTCCCACCTGGAAGGGTCAATTTGCAGGTGCCTATCCCATCTCTTGGTCCATTCTTGCCCAAACTGGTCAAAGAGGGCAGTAAGTTCACCTACATATTTTTCTTGGGAGATTTTGCTCCCTGGCTGGAGATTTTCGGTATCATCTATCCATATTTGATCGGGCTCTGCATGGATGATGGTCTTTATTCCCTCGGGTGTTTGCAGTGGTACAGCTGGATCCCACTGCTGCTCAGGATGGACTACTATGGAGCTATCGTCTTCCACTCTGGTGACAGTGGCTGCTGGTTGGTTGAGCAACATCTGAACCGGCTGTGGTGGTGGCTGCTTAAGGTCACGGAAAATCAGCATTGGATCTTCGGTTCTACGCTGTTTGGCTGATGCTGTTCTTTGCTGGTTCAAGGCTTTTTCAAAGGCTGTGAGGCTTTTGTGGAAGCTATTGCATAGTCGAGTTGCTTCTTCTGGCCCTGGCGGCTCATTTGGCATGGTTTGATCTGGGTTCGTGTCACCCCACCATCGTGGAAAAGTTGGGCTGAAACCTGCTGCTGATTGGATGCTTTGCCATAGCTGCTGCCGATGGACATATGCATGACCTGGCTTATTCGGGTCCATCCTGGCGAAGTTCAACATTCGTCGATATTGTCGCATCCACCTGGCATGCTGAAGGTTCAAACCATGGTACTCTGGTTGATATTCACCTTCTCTTGCTACTTTGGGAGGTGAGCTATGCTCCTGTCTCCACCGCACTTCAAGAGTGGCTGCTCTGCCTTGGCTACAGTCAGGTAGGTGCTGCTGCTTGGCTTGCAAGGTTCTTTTTGCTGCTGCTTCTACACTGTGGCATACAAGGCGATATGCTTCTGTGAGATTGGCTTGCTTCTCGGGTGGCTGATACTGCTTGGCAATTGCTGCTGGATCTATTTCTTTCCATGGGATGCTCTTGGGCTGTCGCCAAATGGGAATCTTGGGAGGCTTTCCCAGTGAGTGGAATTTGGCAATGAGTACCGAGTGGTCGGGAAACCAATCATGCTGGACTTCACAGTCTTTGAGGTACATCGCTAGCTCTGGGCTTACGTAGATGTGGTCTTTGGTGCTCTTGTTCTTGCAAGTGACCTGAATTGGTTTGTTAAGCTTTTCCATTGCCCACTGCTGGACATTAACCCATCCTGCTTCTTTCAACTGCTGCATACTGGGCAGTGCATCGTCTGGCTGGTTGAGATCACCTGCTATGAACCTTAATCCTTGGCTGTGTTGTAGCAGTCTTTTGATGACATGTTGACAAAGTTCTTCAGTTTTGGTTTTTGTGGCTGATGTTTCTGGTTGGGCTGCATACCCGTAGATAACCCCACCTTGAACCCACCGTTGGCCTACCTGAAAACAGGAGACATGGAATCTTGCTGCGTCCCAATCTGACTTGGGCCATGTGGCCGACATGGTTCGGCATGGGCTTGTGCTCAAAAAGGCTACTCCACGGTGCTTACCTGCAATGGATGAAATTGTATTGGACCGTGTGGGCGTCATAGCCCCGGTTTGCAAATGATAGCCGGCTTTGTGATAAGCTAGCTCTTTCTGGAACTTGGCCTTGCCGGGGGCCGACAGGTGTGACTCGCTTACTGCCCAGGTTGTTGACTCCCGGGCTTTGGGCAACTCTGCTATCAGTGATCCCCTACCTAAAAGGCCGGTTGGATTGATGCAACCGATGGTGAAAGCATCGTTTGCACTTGGGCCTGGATTGGCCGCTTCCCCTATGCGACACACGCACGTAAAAAGACATATCAACCATAGGCACAGCTGATATGGTACCCCCAGTTTTTTCTTGGCTAGTCACTCGCCCATGCGTGGGCGTTTGGTGAACAACTGCTCTATTCGAGCCATCTGTTGCTCCAGCTTGCTGTCCAGGGCCGCATGGAAGGCATGTTGCTGCTGGTCGATCTTGTGGTCCAAGTTTTGGACCTGTGCTTGGACTTGCTGGTTATGGCGAGTCTGCTCAACTTGATGTCCTGTGACTTGCGCGCTCAGTTGTTCGAACTTCTGTTCCAGGGCTGCTATGCGTTGATCTTGGTTGCCGGTCATTTCCTCATCTTCCCCTTGGTTGTGGTTGATCTTCTCCAGGATAGACTTTTCCAAGCTGGCTTGGATTGAGGCAACCTGACCTACGGACATCTCCCTAGGACCTTTGTTGACTGATCCCCTCCATGGGTCGTCATGTAGCCATGGATCTTCTTTGGGTTGATCCTTCGGCTTGGCCTGAAGGCTGTGCATGGTTTTGGCTGATGCAACGATCGTCGGCTTGGTCATGTCTGAGCTGGTTGGCTTGTCATCAGGAGATATCAGGACGTCTCCATGAGCCAACTGAAAAATCCAGTGTGTTGGCTCGGTCGCTGCTTGAACGTTCCACATTACTCCTGACCTATCCCCCGCCTGTGCATGAGGGCCAATTGGCCTGGCACTCCAGTTCCATTTCTGGAAGATGTGGACCAGGCTTTGCTTTGTCGATCCAAAGGGCATTGGGCCTACCTTGTAGCGTCTCAACTCTTCACCTGGAATGTAGACCAAGTCTGGTCTGTGGATCTTGTGCAGTTCTTCAGCTTTGGATTTGTCTGTGCGCAAGCCGTACCTGTCTCCTTGGCGCACCAGGCTAGCGGCAATGGTTGAGGTTCTTTGGAGCAGCTGTGCTTCCGCAAAAGTCTTACCTGGCAGCCAAATGGTCTTGTGTTCTTCATCTGGGTGACGTCCATCGCTGGTACGAACTTCAAAGTACCTACCTTCTTGGCCATTGGCTTGCATGATGGGGGGCAGTGCGGTTGCTTCAACTCGGATGTTGACCATGAAAAGCTGTGCTTCTTGGACAGGGACTCGAGTCAAACGCATGGTCATGTACTGTCGGTCCCAAACATCTAGGATGTCTCCACTGGCTACTTCACTGAATGGCTTCAGGCTCAACAAGTGCTTGACTGGCTTCTGGATGAATTCATCCCAATCCGCTGTGCTCTGATCTTTGTACACCTGTACCCGCACAACACTATTGCTGACCTCTGGGACCTCAAGGCATTGACTTGGAGTGTTGCGGACCACTTCTTGTTGCCCGATCTGCAGAACGGCTGCACTGACAATCAAAGGCTCACCTGTGGCTACACACTTCGCTGGGACTTTGGTGATAGGACAGTTACTCGGCAGCCTTGGATCGTGATGGTCCAAGATCAACAGCGCGACACCAAACTGGCTAACAGGCTTGGATAGGCCAAAGTAAGGGATGGCCTCAGCAATGTTGACTAAAACTACCCCTTTGCACCCAGAACCAAGTTGATGTGCATGAATCTGTCCCACCTCTTGCCCATCTTCTTGTCGGAAAACCGCTGGTGGGATGCAGAGCTGATCAGCTGTAAGCTGCATTGGTGCTTTTTGCTGTTTCCCTCCTTTGGTCTTGTTTTGTTTGTTTCCCACTGGTTTGTTTTCTTTGCTCCTCATTTGGATGACTTGCTTCAATTCATCGGCTAGGACTACCCTGATTGGTGGCTGGTGCAGATTGGCTCTTGATTTGAGGTCCATCCACGGCTTTGGTGATTGGAGGATCTGCTGGATCACCTTCGCTCCCAGTGCTTGGATGAGTTGATCTGCACATTCCAGGCCTCTTTGTGGATGCACTCCATGAGAGACGACAAGCTGTTGCAGTTGCTCTCGCACCTGGATTCCACCTCCCAACCTTATTGGGGTGCTGATTGTTTCTGTTGATTTACCTGTGTACTGCAGGTTCTGGTGGAACAGACTTCTCCATTGGCATGCCTGTCTCACTGTGAACGGCTGCGTGGTTTCGTCTTCAATGAGTTTTGCTAACATCCATCCTACTGCTTGGAATCCACAATCGGCTTCGAATGCATGTGGCATTGGGCTGGACGTAAAGCTGATGGCATGGCCTGCAACTACCTCTTGGAAGGCATGGATGATCCAGTCGTATTCAATGCAAGGGACATGAACTCTTGGGACATCACCATCGGCTTCAACAAAGCAAGGAATCCAATGTTCTTTGTGAAGAAAGACCAAGACTTTGACTTGGCTATTGATGTCTTGATGGGCTTGGGTCATTGCTGCTAGGATCCACTTGACTAGCATGGCATCCCTGTCCGGATTGTCAGGGAGGTGGACTACCCCATATGTGGATCCTGGGTGGTAACTTTCTAGCATGTACATGTAGTAGTCCATTTCATCATCGGCTACCCACCCTTTTTGCTTCCAAAGTGCTTGTTCTCTGGTCAGTCCAATCAACGATGTACCTGGGCTCTGTGACACTGCCGTGGTTTGTGGGCATTTGGAGGCTTTAACATCACCATTGCTTTCAAGGAGCAGGAAATGGCCTTGCTTGAGTACTTCATTCTGGCTGATTTGAGTACCCATTGCTGTGCTCACTCGGATTGGTGGCTGGAGCATGTGCATCTTTGCCACGGCTGTGGCAAGGTTTGCTGCTGTACATTTCTCTCCTACCGCATGGGTGAAAATGCTCTCGCCAGACACGGCTACATGAACAACTTGGCCTTTGCCCTGGCTTTCATCATGTTGATTTGTCCCATCTTGGCTGATGGATCGGGACACCTTTGGCTTCTTGGCTTTGACATTTTCATCTTCTTGTGGTCCACGATCCTGACCTTCCTCTTGGTCGAGCTGGCGGATGATAGCTGCATCCAGTTCTCTTTGTGATGGGGTATCATAAATGTCTGTACCGACAGCTATCGTCGGTTGCTTTTCTGTGCTGATCTTTTTCTTGCTGGTCTCTTCTTCTTCCTTCTTTCTTTTCACAGGAAGTGTTTTCCCCGCCCATGGATCTACTTGGCTTTGTTGGCTGCCTGCTTGGTTTGGGTTCCGGACATTGGCAAATGCATTCAAACCGCCTGTGATGGAGTTCCAGGCTGCAAGTGGCTGCAATTTTTCGGGATTCTCCTCTATGTCGCTGCTGTCATCCAATTGGGTGGGGCCCCCACACCCTAAGCGTGGAAGGGGCTTGGCACAGGGGTCACGGGTGGGTGCGATAGGCTTTTCTGTTTTGTTTACATTTCCTGAGTTCATTTGGTCTGCAATGGGTTGTTCTGCTGGTCGTTGGCTGGTCGGATCAAGTGCTTGAGCTGCTTGTTGGTCAATCTTGGCTGTCTGAATCTTCAGTTGGTCAATGGGTTGTTTCCCTTTGGTCTCTGCAACGCTCTCAGCCCTTTGTCCTCCACTTATTCTGTCATCTTGGGAGGGGCCCCCACACCCTAAGCGTGGAAGGGGCTTGGCATGAGGTGGGGCGGGCGGGTGCTGGTATGGCTCTGCTTTGTCTTCCTTTTGGGCTTTGACTTGAAGTCCTTGCATGGCCTGTTGGGGCCTTTTGTTGGTTGCTTTGGCTCTGGTTTCTTCCTCTGTGAGATCGTCTGATCCACTCCATGCTTGCTGCAGGTTCTGGATGTGGGTCATGCCTAGTTGGCTCATTGTATGGTCTGGCGGATCCCTTTCTACACTTTGGCTCTTTCCTTGGCTTGGTTCATTCACATGGGAGGGGCCCCCACACCCTAAGCGTGGAAGGGGCATTGCATCGGGGTGTTGAGGAGGGGGCATGAGTGTGCTTGGCATGACTGGGCCTAGACCTGGTTTTGTGGGCTTTTGCTGCTTTCCATTCCCTTCAACTTCCCCTGGCCAGGCAGTTGATTGCCTCGGATTGGTCTGTAGGCTTCCGGCTGCTGTCACATCGGGTTTGTGGACACTTGCATTGGCTGATCGGGCAAATCGGGCTGCTTGGGTAGGCACAGCAACTCTAGTTACCTCAGCGCCTTTTGCATTCGTCGTGCGGAAATTCTGAACTGAGGGTCTGGCTGCCTTCTTGCATTCATGGCCATCCATTTCTGTACAGTCAACTGCATGTGAACAATGTACAAGCCCCGGGTCGTAGACCGCGGATGCTTCGTGTGCTTTTCCTACCCCTGCCTCGGATGCTTGCAGATTGTGGGCCTTTGGCCCCACAGTTGGTGCACTGTGCTTCTGTTCTGTACAATCGACTGCATACGATCTATGCTTAAACCCTTGGTCGGCTGCTTCGGATGCTTCTGGTGTTTTACCAACCCCTGCCTCGAATGCTTTTTGACTTTGGGCCTTTGGCTCCAAAGGTGGGGCACGGTTCACATGATCTGTACAGTCGGATGCATCGGAACTATGTACAAGCCCCGGGTCGTAGACCGCGGATGCTTCGTGTGCTTTTCCTACCCCTGCCTCGGATGCTTGCAGAATGTGGGCCTTTGGTTCCACAGTTGGTGCACTGTGCTTCTTTTCTGTACAATCGACTGCATACGATCTATGCTTAAACCCTTGGTCGGCTGCTTCGGATGCTTCTGGTGTTTTACCTACCCCTGCCTCGAATGCTTTTTGACTTTGGGCCTTTGGCTCCAAAGGTGGGGCACGGTTCACATGATCTGTACAGTCGGATGCATCGGAACTATGTACAAGCCCCGGGTCGTAGACCGCGGATGCTTCGTGTGCTTTTCCTACCCCTGCCTCGGATGCTTGCAGAATGTGGGCCTTTGGTTCCACAGTTGGTGCACTGTGCATCTGTTCTGTACAATCGACTGCATACGATCTATGCTTAAACCCTTGGTCGGCTGCTGCGGATGCTTCTGGTGTTTTACCTACCCCTGCCTCGAATGCTTTTTGACTTCGGGCCTTTGGCTCCACAGGTGGGGCACGGTTCACATGATCTGTACAGTCGGATGCATCGGAACTATGTACAAACCCTTGGACGGTTGCTTCGGATGCTACGGATGTTGTTCCTACCCCTGTCTCGGATGCAAGCTTCTTTTGGGCCTTTGGCTCCAAAGACGGGGCATTGTTCACAGGCTCTGCACCCTTGGTTGCATCGATGGTTACGTCTGGTCTGTGTGCATCCACTGGACCAGGTGTGTGGGATGCACTTCCTAACCCCGCCTCGGATGCATCAGGATTCTTGCTCGGATGCTTTGCTTCAAACAGTTTCTGCTCGGATGCTGCATCGACTGTGGCAGTCGTTTGGCTTGGTACCTGGGCCGGCAGCGGGTTGGATTGACCCCATTGTTGGATTGCTTGGTGAAAGATCTCATTGGATGGGGTATGTTTGGGATATCCCAATAGTTCATCACGTGCCCTCAGGAGTTCAATGGCCATTGTTTGCATCACATCCATTGGTTCTTGAAAACTCTTCAGTGGAAAAGCATTCAAGTGGATATCTTTGAGAACATTGGCCAGTACCCATGCTCCTTGGAATGGTGATGCCATTTGTCCTACCCCTGCCATTTCAAGTCGGCATTGTCCCTTGGTGTGGCCTACATGAGATGGATGCAGGCCGTTGGCCAAGGCGATTTCACAGGCATGCAGGTGTCTGCACTTGCAGTATAGATTGGCTCCACACTGTTCTTCACCACCTGTCGGCGTAATGACTCCGTAGAGTCCTTTCTCTTCCAATCTGGCAAGGCTAAAACCGCCTTTCCTACATCCACAGCTGCATGACTTCACTTGTGATCCCCATGAATGTGTTGCAGTTGGTAAAGCTTTCATGGGATCCAGTAAATGTTTGTGCAGTGACGGATATCCATGGAAATACCTGAGTTCATACAAATCCAGTGAGATTTCTTCCAAATCACTTTCTGAAACATCCATGACCTTCGGGAAAAGATGCAAAAACGTTAGGCAAAACTGCAACTTGGGAATGGCGGGGATCTCTCCAATACCTAGTGCTGCATGTGACAATGTGCACCACCATCTTGTCCTCCTTGATACCCAAAAAGTATGGAGTTCCAAAAATTTTTGATTAATCCTGAATCCAGTTTGGGCTGCAAAGCTTCGCAAAAGGTGTTGAACCCATTCAGATCTTTCAGCCCCAGGAGTGCATTCGAGGATGATCACCGGTGATTGCATCAAATAGGATGCCCTGAGAGTGCCAGGGAGCGACCTTGATCTATCATCATACTGTTGCTTCATGTCTCCAAGGTAACTGAATGGCTGGCATGATACTCCCGCTGACATAAACATCCCTGGGGATTGTGCCATTTGTTGAATCACCTGAACATCATTGATATCCCCATGAATCACCTTCTTTCCATGGTCAGAGAGCCATTTGCTGAAAGCCCGATTGGAGTCATTGTGAACCGACGTCACCACCCCACACTTTGCATATCCAGTTGACACCGCTCCCAGGCCTGAGCATGTTTCCCTCATGTATTGCATGTCTCTTTCACGGATGGCTGCATGGCCTACCACTACTGTTGCTGGGGTACGCACAATCCATACCCTGTTTCCTCTCTTTTCCAGTTGCCCCTGAAAAATGGTGGCTGAAGGCTGATGTGGAAGGATCAGGTCCGTCATCACAGTCTGACCATGAATCAGGGTTGCTGCTAAGCTATGTTTGGATCCAATCCACATGGGGCGAACCACCACATTCACTGAAGACCCATTAAGCTCCTGGTGCAAATTAGGTTCCAGTTCAAAGGTTTCCATGGCCGGTTTGATCGTGCTCAGTTTTCGGTTGGACCTAGTCTACCACTGGGAGGACCTGAGCCAAGACTTCAACCAACCATCATTTATCAATTGCCATATGATTCATTAAACCTGTGAAAACCTTGGTACATCTGGCTGTATTATAGCAACGTCACTGCGACGTTACTGGAATCATGATTCGTATAGGGTAGAGGGAATCATTTCCAAATGGCCCAGGATGTCGGGGAAGTATGGGGAAGTGAGTAATAAAAGTTATCCAAATATGATGGATGTTCAAAACCCATTTATCAATGGATTGGTTTTAAGGGAAAATTGAAACCGGAAAGCCACATATTTAATGGGAAAATCTATAGTTTCCTGCAAGTTCCCAGTCGGATGACTTTGCTAAGTTCAAGGCTGGAGTTGGATTTGGCCACCATGGTCTTCTGCCGTCGATTCATTTTGAACTCTCAGTCACAGTGGTACATTCATCTTAGGGCCGACAGCTTTCCACAGGGTGGCCGTGACTATTTCATCAGTGAGTACGATTACGTCTGTGAGCAGCATGTCTCCAGACTTCTTGAATCAGGGAACATGACTTTGACCACGAGGATTTTACCTTTAAGCATCATTGGGAGCAGGACAGCGTCAACTACCCACAAGGGCAGAGCTTCTAAGAGCAGTTTCCTGTAGATTTTCCCTTAAACCAACTCATCGAATTGCTATAAAACCTTCATAAATGATGGCTAGTTGTATCCCATTATTATCCATGATCATCACACAAAAGAGCTATAAATCCACCAAAGATTGATGGTTGAAACTGATTAAAGCTTTCGCAAATGATGGTTGATGATGGTTAGATCCCATGAAAATCCCATAATGGTGGTAAAACAATGTCATGTCATGCACCCATTTGGGGAATGGCTTATACCCCCTATGAAAATGTTGAAATTGGGGAATAGTTTATTGCTGTTTTACCAATATGACTTGGTTAATACCTCATCAACCATGTGCACAATCATAATACTTGTGATTTTCCCATGGTATCCCCTTATCATAATAAAACCTTAGCATCATTTCCCATGTGATTTTCCCATGTTATTATCATTTCTACTTATCATAATACCTGGTATACTTGTTATCCCCATGTTATCCCCATTTCTTATCCCCAATTCCCATGTGTATTATCATAATACTTGTTGATTGATGGTGTAAAACCTCTTTTTTTGATCGTGAAATCCCAGTACTCCAGGCCTCGCCTCAGAGTTCACAGTTCAGCCCCTGCAGCCCGAGCAGCCGCCGGCCACACTTAGAGCCCCTGCCGCCCGGCGATGGGACAATGGGGTCAAGTCATGGCCAAAAATAAGGGAATCTAATGGTTAATAATGCTTTAATGGTGATTAATAGTGGCTGATGGTGATTAATAGTGGATTAATGGTGATTTATAGTGGTTGAACGGTGATTAATAGTGGCTGAATGGTGATTTATAGTGGTTGAATGGTGGTTAATAGTGGTTGAATAGTGATCAATAGTGGCTGAATGGTGATCAATAGTGGCTGAATGGTGATTAATAGTGGCTGGATGGTGATTAATAATGCTTTAATAGTGATTAATAGTGGTTGCATGGTGGTTAATAATGCTTTAATGGTGATTAATTGTGGTTGAATGGTGATTAGTAATGCTTTAATCGTGATTAATAGTGGTTGAATGGTGATTAATAATGCTTTAATGGTGATTAATAATGGTTGAATGGTGGTTAATAATGCTTTAATGGTGATTAATAGTGGTTGAATGGTGATTAATAGTGGCTTAGTGGTGATTAACAGTGGCTTAGTGGTGATTAATAGTGGCTGATGGTGGTTAATAGTTGTTTAATCATGGTGATTCAGTGGTTAATAGTGGTTTAATGCTGTTTAATAGTGGTTGAATGGTGATTAATAGTGTCTTAGTGGTGGTTAATAGTGGCTTAGTGGTGGTTAATGGTGGTTAAATGGTGATTAATAGTGGTTGAATGGTGGTTAATGGTGGTTTAATGGTGATTCAATGGTTGATAGTGGTTTAATAGGAGTTTATAGTGGTTGAATGGTGATTAATAGTGTCTTAGTGGTGATTAATGGTGGCTTAGTGGTGGTTAATAGTGACTGAATGGTGGTTAATAGTGGTTGAATGGTGATTCAATGGTTAATAGTGGTTTAATGCTGGTTAATAGTGGCTGAATGGTGATTAATAGTGGCTTAGTGGTGGTTAATAGTGGTTGGATGGTGATTAATAGTGGTTGAATGATGGTTAATAGTGGTTAATAGTGGTTATTGGTGGTTCAATTGTTAATTTTGGTTTAATGGTGGTTAATAGTGGTTGAATGGCAATTAATAGTGGCTTACTGGTGATCAATAGTGGTTGAATGGGTGCTAATAGTGGTTTAATGGTGATGAATAGTGGTTAATGGTGGTTCAATGGTTAATAATGGTTGAATGGTGGTTCAATGTTCAATAGTATTTTAATGGTGGTTAATAGTGGTTGAATGGTGGTTGATAGTGAATTAGTGGTGATTAATAGTTGTTAATAGTTGTTTATAGTGATTTATTGTGGTTACTAGTGGTTTCATGTTGATTAATAGTGATTCAAAGTTGTTAATAGTTGTTTATAGTGATTAATTGGGTACTAGTGGTGATGGTGATAAAGAATGTGATACAGTAACTTGTATTTGCTGAGTCGATGATTTTGGTTTTTCCCAGAAATCCCGAACTGTTGGGAATCCATGAATGGAGGATGCTCAATTGGGGTTCCTCTAGCAAATCCAAGATAAATCCATATGCCATAAACAACAGCTATTTTGGGCTTCACCACGGTTGGGTTTGGACATGTTTTGAGCCATATGGGGAAATTATGTAAATGGTTTTTCCTGATAAAATTGGTGAAACCATGGGTTCTATGGGTTTGAAGCTACAAGGGTCGTGGCACTGACACAGAGCCCTGGTGGAAGTTCATGTGATGTGCTCCCAATGACACGGCAATTCTTTAAAATTCCTACATGCGTTTTTCGATAGCATCTGAATGTTTATTTTCGGGCTCATTTTCGGGCTGATCAGTTTAATTATTTTCCGGCTGACCCAGCACAAACATGCACAAACCATGCCATGCTTGGTTTGCCACCGCCTTGATTTGGCACTTCCTGCCGGACTGGAAGGCCTGCACCGCCTGAAGCTCTTGCCCGGCTGAAAAAGGTCAACGCTGGCAGATGGACGGAGTGGCCCACATGGAGAACCCAGATGTGTTGGTACAAACGTTTGGTTTTCGGCTGAATGTCCAGGCACCGTATGCTGACATGCTTCTGTAGAGAAGTTGCTCCAGATATGACAAGACCGATTTGGCACAGGAGGTACGTTGTCTGCCATGTTCATCATCCAAACACCAGGTGGTGCAAGTAGACATCAGAAGGCCCACGTGATAGGCCTTGTGCATTTCAAGATAAGGTCTACCTGACCTCCCAGGATTTCTGTGACGATTTTGAGAAACACAAGGTTCCTGTTGATGGGTCATGTCTGGGACTTGCAACCATCCATTGTTGCATGTGAGAAATGCTGGATTTCACCAGCAAAAGTTGGGATTAGAATCGGAAGTGATGGACACCAAATCAACAACTTGGAGGACCGTGCCAGTTTTAAGTGTTTAAAATTGTAATTAAATTCATTAACCCAGCTTTGCAACCCAACAGCATACCTGAATTTTCCACCTACTTCTTTTTCAGACCCTGTGCCAAAGTCTTGTTTTTTCAGTACCCAGAAAACTTTTCAGGACCTACTCTCAAATTCAGGACCTGGCCATTTTGGGGTATCAATGGTAATGGCAATCATTGGGTGCAAACATGTGAAACCAACATTTGGTGGATATTCAAGCC